CAGTTATGTGATCCCCCAAACCCCAACTCCCATAGCGTACGTGCAGTTTCTGGCATGCTGGCCTAGCTTCCAGCATGAGGGTGTGAAGGAATGTTTTTATGGCATGGCAATAGAGGCCATCTGGACCTCTCTATTTGGCTTCAACAGGAAATCAACACAGCAGGGTACCAGCAAGATATCAGCAAGACACATTCTAGGGGGAGGCAGGGGTTTATAGGAATCAATATTTCTATACAATACTGACAGTTCTGTGAGGGTCTGCGTGTCAGGACCTAGTCAGAGTTGATTGTGTTGCTCTTGACCAGTCCTCTACACCCAATGTATAATATTCTCTTCGGGTTTTGGATATTTCAGGCTGTCTTCCTTGAGGACTACTGCACAGTATATGGCTCCCCAGAAAGCCAGGCACCAATACTTATAACATTCAAAAAGGCACAGTTGTGTTATTGTTGGCACAGGAAACACTACAGGGGGGTGGGATATATTTACATGGGATGTTCAGATACTTTGTTGAAATATTTGTATCCCTTTGCCTTGTCTCAGGCTGTCTGTGGTTCGCTCCTTCAGTGGTTAACTTATTGGCTTTAATTGGTCTGGTCCCCCCCCCCTGAGTCTAACTGGTCCCCCAACCAGCCTTCCAGACTCATGACTCCAGATCCCTTTTTGCCTCTCCTCAACCCCTATTTGATTCCCTATCAAGCAGGGTTTTTGTGTGTTTGTGACCACCCAGGCCTTCTGCATCCACTCTCTTCCAACTCACTCTTCCAACCCACTCTTCCAGCTGTCCGCCCCCAACAGTCAGTTGGGTCAGTTTTCTGTCACTCCAAGAGTGCTCCAGCCAAAAGGCCCCCTCCCCTCTAGGTCAAGTGACTCAGCCGGGATCTAGCTTAACATTCTGCTGGTCCCAGATTTTCAATTCCGTCACAGACCGCTTAGGATTCACAAGAACATCAGAAGAGCCCTGCTGGATCAGGCCAGAGGTCCATCTAGTCCAGCCTCCTGTCTCACACTGTGGCCAACCTGTCCCTTTGGTGCGCCAGCAACAAGGAATAGAGGCCGAGGCCCTCAGAAGAACAGCAGAAGAGCCCTGCTGGATCCGACCAGCGAGGGTCCATCTAGTCCAGCCTCCTGTCCCACACAGCAGCCCACCAGTACTGAGCCAGTTTGGTGCAGTGGTTAAGTGCGCGGACTCTAATCTGGGAGATCCGGGTTTGATTCCCCACTCCTCCACTTGCAGCTGTTGGATGACCTTGGGCAAGCCATAGTTCTGATAAGAGGTGTTCTTGAAAAAGAGCAGTTTCTGTCAAGAGCTCTCTCAGCCCCACCTCCCTCACAGGGTGTCTGTTGTGGGGAGGGGAAGGGGTTTGTAAGCCGCTCTGAGACTCCGAGTGAAGGGCGGGGTAGAAACCCATCCCTCCTCCTCCTCCTCCTCCTCCTTCCCCCCCCCCTTGAGAAGGCCAACAGACAGGGCAGAGAGGCCGAGGCCTTCAAAAGAATATAAGAAGAGCCCTGCTGGACCACACCAGCCAGGCAGGCAGCGCCAAGGGTGGGGGGTGCAGGGGGCACCAGCAGCGCTTCCTCCAGCTGCACTTCCAGACGGACTGAAGCCCGGCTCAGGCGGAGCGGCCGGTTATCTTCTCCACAAAGGGGACAGGCCAGATGTAACACCCCCTTGTTCCCGCTTCCATTCCAGGCTACAACAATGACAGGAAGAAGCAGCTGAAGCGGCTTTTCAAGTCGATTCAGACGCAGCAGAAAGTCTAACCCCCGCGGCCGAAGAAGCAGCGTCGTCGCAGGAGAGACGTGGTCAAGAGCGAGCCGACGGCTTGCGGGCTTCTCTTTTGTGCTGCGGAGCGGAATCTGGGCCTCTTGCCCGCGGAACTGCCTCCGCGTGTGGCCACACCAGGACGGTCTTTGCTTTTGGGGAGCACCAGGCCAGTCCCTGGGGAAAGGACGGTTCCCCTTGGGGCAAGTTTGCCCACAGGCCCAGAACGGCTTTTAGCCTGGACGTGTTACAAGGTTGGATCCATTGCAAGAGGCTGACGGCTGTGTGCCACGGCAGGCCAGAGTGGTGGGCTGGGGGGAAAGAGGGACTTCCACGCGACCCCCTTCTGACGCTGGCGCAGCCGCCATCAGCTACACCGACAGCTGGACAGAGTGACACTTCCCAACTGAACGCACACCCTCGCGCCTGCTACACCTCGACTCAGATGCACTGCAATGAGCGCAAATAAAAGTTTGTTTGTTTATTCTGACTTTTACCCTGCCCTCCCTGCAAGCGGGCTCAGGGCGAGTCACAAATCACAGAGTAACAGTATCATAAGAACATAAGAGACGCCAATGTTGGATCAGGCCAAAGGCCCATCCAGTCCAACACTTTGTGTCACACAGTGGCCAAAAGGACCAGGTGCCATCAGGAGGTCCAGCAGTGGGGCCAGGATATTAGAAGCCCTCCCACTGTTGGCCCCCTCAAGCACCAAGAAGACAGAGCATCACTTGCCCCAGAGTCCCTATCTATACCTTGTGGCTAATAGCCACTGATGGACCTCTGCTCCATATGCTTATCCAGTTCCCTCTTATAAGAACATAAGAGAAGCCAATGTTGGATCAGGCCAAATGGCCCATCCAGTCCAACACTCTGTGTCACACAGTGACCAAAAATACCAGGTGCCATCAGGAGGTCCATCAGTGCGGCCAGGACACCAGAAGCCCTCCCACTGTTGCCCCTCCCCAGCACCAAGAATACAGAGCATCCCTTGCCCCAGACTGAGAGTTCCTATCTATACCTTGTGGCTAATAGCTACTGATGGACCTCTGCGCCATATGCTTATTTAATTCTTTTGAAGCCGTCCATGCTTGTAGCTGCCACCACTTCCTGTGGCAGTGAATTCCATGTGTTAAAACCATGTGTTAAAAACATCAAATAGTTAAAACCATATTCCTCATAAAACACAAAGCAAACACAAAGCAGAGTGGATTTGCCAGTTTGGTGTAGGGGTTAAGTGTGCAGACTATAATCTGGAATAACCAGGTTTGATTCCCCACTCCTCCACTTGCACCTGCTGGATGACCTTGTTTTGGCACAGCTGTCCTTGAAAAAGAGCAGTTTCTGTCAGAGCGCTCTCAGCCCCACCTACCTCACAGCCGCAGTGTTCCCTCTAAGCTGAGTTAGTGTGAGCTAGCTCACAGTTTTTTAGCCTCCAGCTCACAGATTTTTGTCTTGGCTCAGGAGGGATGGCTCCAGAGCAAACTAATTTACGCAGTAGCCAAAAATCCTGGCTCACAACTTTAATGCCAGCAGCTCACAAAGTAGAATTTTTGCTCACAAGACTCCACAGCTTAGAGGGAGCCTTGGTAGCTGCCTGTGTTCCCTCTGAGCTGAGTGAGCGTGAGCCAGCGCACAGTTTCTTAGCCTCCGGCTCACACATTCTTGTCTGAGCCCAGGAAGGATGGCTCCAGAGCAAACTAATTTACGCAGTAGCCAAAATCCTGGCCCACAACTTTAATGCCAGCAGCTCACAAAGTAGAATGTTTGCTCACAAGACTCCACAGCTTAGAGGGAGCATTGCTCCCAGGGCGCCTGTTGTGGGGAGGGGAAGGGAAAGGAAGTTTGGAAGCTGCTCTGAGACTCCCTCGGGGAGTGAAGGGCGGGGTATAAAGCCAATCTCCTCTTCTTCAACAGTGACGCTCAGTTTGAGCCGGATCCATTTGGCCAGCATTGTCAGCGGGGGAGGCCAGAGATAGATTTGTATGTCGGCCGTCTCCTCCGAATTCCCGGCGGAACAGCTCCGTCTTGCGGGCCCTGTGGAATTGTCACAGATCCCGCAGGGTCTTAATCTCAAGAGGGAGCTTGTTCCACCAGGCTGGGGCCAGGGCAGAGGTGAGCCGGGCATCCTTGGGGCCGGGGACAACCAGGTGTTGACCACTCGAGCACAGCGCTCTTCAAGGGACATGCCTTCATCCTGCAAAGGATCCAGACACACGCTCCTTTGGTTTTTGATCGGAGAACTGGGGAAGGGAGCAGAGGCGGTGTCTGAACTGCCGACTGGTCCTGCAGACACGCCAGGCGTGTGCCTCCGGTTTTGGCCTGGTTGATGATGCACAGCCGATTTCTTTCACCTGGGCCAGGGTTCCCCAACACGGTGCCCGCTGAGCTTACCGGAAAGTGGGTGGGTCGTTGTGAGGCAAGGCTTGTTATTGGCTGCCCTCATCCAAATGAAAGGGAGGATAAGGAGGGCTGGTAAACACCTGGGCTTTCCTTAGCCAGCGTGTGGTTTCATTCCTCATTCTGGATTCCCTTCTTCTGAAATGCTGTGAGGAAGTCCATTTAACACTGCCTCCTGAGGCAGCCATTTTGGGTTTGGCTCCGCCCCTGAGGCAGCCATTTTGGGTTTGGCTCTGCCTCCTGAGGCAGCCACTTTGGGTTTGGTTCTGTCCCTGAGGCAGCCATTTTTTATTTGGCTCCACCCCCTGAAGCAGCCATTTTGAGTTTGGCTCCGCCCCTGAGGCAGCCATTTTGGGTTTGGCTCCGCCCCAATGCAGCCATTTTGGGTTTGGCTCTGCCCAGTGTTGCCAACTTCCAGGTGGGGCCTGGGGATCTCCTGCTTTTACGACTGATCTCCAGCTGACAGAGATCAGCTCCCCTGAAGAAAATGGCTGCTTTGAAGAGTCGACTCTATGGCACTTTACCATGTTGAGGCCCTTCCCCTCCCCAAACCCCGCCCTCTCCTGGCTCCACCCCCAAAGTCTCCAGGTATTTTCCAACCCAGACCTGGCAACCGTAGCTCTGCCTCCTGAGGCAGTCATTTTGGGTTTGGCTCTGCCTCCTGAGGCAGCCATTTTGGGTTTGGCTCCGCCCCCGAGGCAGCCATTTTGAGTCGGTGCTCACCCCCCCCCTCTCTCAAAGGCTCAAAAAGTTTGGGTACCCCTGCCCTCGACACACTGATCCCACTCCTCTTCCGCCGGCACCGGATGCCTGTGGTGGGCAGGGAAGCGCCCAGAGCCACCCCAGGCCACGCTCCTTGCCTGTGAAGCTGTCCCACATCAGATAAAACCAACGTTTTAAACGGAAGGATCCTCCCGTTTCCCATCTGGCACCGAAGCGCCCAACCAGAGCCCTCTCCTTCAGACTCACCCCACCCCACTCCCCCACCGCCTGGGTCTCCCCTCGCACAGGAACATCTGTTGCAACATATAAAGACTCCGAATGTGCTTATCTAGGGCAAGACCTCCATTTTATGGAAAGCGAGAGATTAATGGATTCCACTGCTTGGGGATAACTGACTCGTAATGGAAGTTGCCAGCCTCCGTGAACGGCTCTGCTCAGATAGCAATTTAAAGGTTGAATAGATAACCTTGAAGAGAATCTCTGCACGTCAGCCAGGTAAGGAGACGCTCCCGACGTGCTTCCCAGCCAAGCAGGGCTAATAGATGAAAAAAGCCCCGGGGGGGGGGGGGGGGAGGAGAGGCAATTTGAGGAGGGCGGATGCAAGACGAACGGGGTCGGTTTGCGGGTGAAACGGGGGCGGGGGGGACAGGCTGGTCGGCGTCACCACCGAGGGCTGATCTCCATGGAAACCTGGAAGCCACGCCAGCCGCCCCTCCGAGTCTGGCCACCGCTCTCTGACTGTCCCGGTCACAGGCCTCGGGACGTCCCGACCAATGCTCCCTCTCAGCTGTGGAGTCCTGTGAGCAAAAATTGTACTTTGTGAGCTACCGGCATTAAAGTTGTGAGCGAGCAATTTGGCCCTTGCATAAATCGGTCTGCTCTGGAGCCATCTTTCCTGAGCTGAGACGAAAATGTGTGAGCCGGAGGCTAAAAAACTGTGAGCTGGCTCACAATCACTCAGCATAGAGGGAACACTGGTCCCGACCAATGCTCCCTCTAAGCTGTGGAGTCCTGTGAGCAAAAATTCTACTTTGCGGGCTACTGGCACTAAAGCTGTGAGCGAGCGATTTGGCTGCTGCATCAATCTGTTTGCTCTGGAGCCGTTCTTCCTGAGCCGAGACAAAAATGTGTGAGCCAGAGGCTAAAAAACTATGAGCTAGCTCACAGTAACTCAGCTTAGAGGGGACACTGGTCCCGACACCACGACCACCCCCGGAGCCGGCAAGGCAGCCTCTTACCCACGGGAGATCCGGGCCCAGAGCCAACGGCAAGCCACTGAGCCACAGCCCCTTCCCATAGCTCTCCAGGGTCTCAGGCTGAGGTCTTTCCCATCACCTCCTGCCTGGTCCTTTTAGCTGGAGATGCCGGGGATTGAACCTGGGACCTTCTGCATGCCAGGCAGAGGCTCTCCCACTGAGCCCCACAGCCCCTCTTGAACAGGCACATGAACCCATCTTATACTGAATCCGATCCTTGGTCCATCGAGGTCCATATTGTCTACTCACACTGGCAGCAGCTCTCCAGGGTCTCAGGTTGGGGTCTTTCCCATCACCTCCTGCCTGGTCCTTTTAACTGGGGATGCCGGGGATTGAACCGGGGACCTCCCGCCTGCTGAGCAGATGCTCTATCCCAGTGAGCCACAGCCTTTCCCCAGCTTTGGCACAAGGGATTGCCGAGAGACCCCCGGTGTTCCCACTCCAGCGATTCGGTCACCGAAGGATACGGAACCGCGCGACTTTTCCAGGAAGCATCCAGGATCTCAATGGCTAATCCTGACTCCCGAAGGGGAGTTGAATGGGCAACAATTGGTCCTGAGGGCTGATGCTGCCGTGTGAAAGGAGACCTTGAGCCCTGAACTCCCCAATCCAAGTACATCCTAGGAATCCAAGTGGGGAAGTGTGCCACCTCCTGGTGGAAGCAAGGAGTGGGAGGGCTTCTAGTGTCCTGGCCCCACTGCTGGACCTCCTGATGGCACCTGGTATTTTTGAACACTGTGTAACACAGAGTGTTGGACTAGATGGGCCTTTGGCCTGATCCAACATTGGCGTCTCTTGTGTTCTTAAGGGACACAAAAACCGCGTTTGGATCGTAGAGCATCTGCCTCATACTTTGGGCGCAATGATTTAACCCCCCCCCCCCAATAATTCGCACAAGCAGACATTCTTCAGGACTTGCTCTGAAGCCAGGTGTAGAGCTACAGTATTCCCAGGAAGGTCGGTGGCCTTGAGTTCAAATCGACCACCAGCTCCTACAATCGCTGGCCACACGCGCTCTTCTGGGCAGAAGAACCGATGGGTGCAGAGCGGCGGCTGAGGGCCCGGGCAGATGTTCCCAGCTGAGCCACTGGGTGCGTTCACCCACCTGGATCCACCTGGCAAGGAACATGGCTTGCACAACACAGCAAGACAGACAGTTGGTCAAAGGGGCCAACGAGAGTCTTTTCAGCTCTGCACCCCAAGCTTTACGCATGACAATCATAGAATGTTAGAGTTGGGAGGGACCTTGCAGGTCATCTAGTCCAACCCCCCTGCACTCTGCAGGAGCAGAGCCAAAAGGGAGCCCTACAACATACCCGAAAGATGACTGTCCAGCCTCCGCTTGAAAACGTCCAGCGACGGAGCATCCACCACCTCCCGAGGCAGTCTGTTCCACTGCTCAACCCCTCTCACAGTTAGGAAGTTTCTCCTGATATTGAGCCGGTATCGACTTCCTTGACATTTCACCCATTAGATCTAATCTTGCAATCCGGAGCAAGAGAGAATAGATCCACTCCATCTTCTACAGGACAGCCCTTCAGATACTTGAAGACTGCAGTCATGTCCCCTCTAAGCCTTCTCTTTCCCAGGCTAAACCTTCCCAACTCTTTCACCCTTTCCTCATAAGACTAGGATTCCAACCCCCTCGCCACCCATTATGGCTTCGGTCAGTGGGTCAGAGGAACATACGCAAGACGAGCGACAAAGACCGCCTCACTGCCACTCACACATTTCATATTTGTGCACAATTTAATTCACTGCAATACCACAGATTACTGGTGATAACACGTCTCTCCCGGAGCAGTGTGGACTCACGGGGCTACCCGGTCCCTCCCCCACCCCCCAGCATTCAACAGCTACTCAAACTAGGATGGCGAAGCTGTAAGCTGCCCCCCAGGCTCCGATGCTCCATCCCAACCTGGCGGTCAAAGCTGAAGGAGAACACCTGAGCAGTCTTCTCCGTGCAAACCTGCCAGATCCTCTCCAGAGAAGATGCCTGCTTCCGGGGCATGTCTGTGCCAGCTGTTTCCCTCTGAGCGGGTGCAGAGCCCAGACGGCGATATGGCTTCAGCCTTCCAGCACTTTTCTAATAAACCACATCTCCTCGCCGCTCAGGGGCTTCAGGTCGTAGCCTTTCAGCTCCGGTTTACCTTGGAGAAAGGAAGGAGGCAGTGGAAGGTGAGGAGACATCACTCAAGCCCTATGGAATCATAGAATGTTAGAGCTGGGAGGGACCTTGCAGGTCATCTAGTCCAACCCCCTGCACTCTGCAGGAGCAGAGCTGAAAGAGAGCCCTGCAACATACCCAAAAGAGGGTCGTCCAGCCTCCGCTTGCCAAGCCTCCGCTTGCCAAACAGTCAAGGGAAGTATTTGCCAAGCAGCCAAGGGATTTCTGCCTTCTCTTGCACAGGTCATTTGGGATTAGATTAAGTGGTGAACCATAGGGAGTACTGCTTATTTGTTCTTCATTATTAAGCAGTTAAGAACAGCCCAGTGGCCCATCCAATCCAGCCTCCTGTTTCACACAGTGACCAACCAGTTCCTCTGGAGGGCCAGCAACAGGGCAGAGAGGCCGAGGCCTTCATGAGAACATCTGAAGAGCTGTGGTGGATCATGCCAGTGGACCAACTAGTCCAGCATCCTGTCTCACACAGGGGCCAGCCAATTCTTCTAGAGCAGGGGTGTCAAACATGTGGCCTGGGGGCCGCATCAGGCCCCCAAAGGGCCTCTATCAGGCCCTCAGAGGAACTGGCTGTCTTGGGCTTCTTCCAGTTCTGCTGCTGCTGCATCATCGTAGGTTTGCAGCTTACAGAGACACACCTGAACAGCATACTCGAGATTGCAACAGCACAGACATTTTGATGCAATAATTCAGAGCAAAAGGTGTCCGTTATCAGACAATGTTAAATAAACAAAACATTGCAAGAGTGCTCATGTTTTGAGCATGTTTTTATTTTTAGTAAAAAAACAAACCTTTGTGTTTGTGTCCTCTATAAAGTTTATATCTCCGCTCCCTGGCATTACCTTTTATGACACACATGGCCCGGCCCAACAAAGTCTCATTTATGTCAGATCTGGCCATCATAACAAATGAGTTCGACACCCGTTCTAGAGGGCCAACAACAAGACACAGAGGCCAAGGCCTACATGAGAGCATCAGAAGAGCCCTGCTGGATCAGACCAGTGAGGGTCCATCTAGTCCAGCATCCTGTCTCACACAGGGGCCAGCCAGTTCCTCTGGAGGGCCCAACAATGGGACACAGAGGCCACAGTCACTAGGAGGGGCACAGACCAGACATCCGTGGGGCTGCAGAGCTTTGCTCAAGAAAGCAGCCTTGCTTGGAAAAGAGCACATGAATACATGAAGCTGCCTTCTACTGAATCAGACTCTTGGTCCATCAAGGTCAGTACTGCCTACTCAGACTGGCAGCCGCTCTCCAGGGTCTCAGGCGGAGGTCTATCTTGTCACCTATTACCTGGCCCTTTTAACCGGAGATTGTGGGGAATTGAACCTGGGAACTTCTGCATGCCAAGCAGAGGCTCTTCCACTGAGCCACGGCCCCTCTTTGCAGCTCTCCAGAGTCTCAGGCCAAGGTCTTTCCCATCACCTCCTACCTGGTCCTTTTAACTGGAGGTGCCGGGGATTGAACCTGGTACGTTCCGCATGCCAAGCAGACACTCTGCCACTGAGCCACGGCCCCTCTCCATGGCTCTCCAGGGTCTCAGGCGGAGGTCTTTCCCATCACCTCCTGCCTGGTCCTTTCAACTGGAGATGCCGGGGATGGAACCTGGGACCTTCTGCATGCCAAGCAGAGGCTCTTCCACTAAGCCACGGCCCCTCTCCATGGCTCTCCGAGGTCTCAGGCTGAGGTCTTTCCCATCCCCTCTTGCCTGGTCCTTTTAACTGGAGATGCCAAGGATTGAACCTGGGACCTTCCCCCAACTTCAGATGTGGCCCTAGATAGTGATAGCAGTTCTTAGAACGACAAAAATGTGAACCGCCCAGAGACCCCTTCGGGGGTTAGGGCGGTATATCAAATCTAAGGTTAAATAAATAAAAAATAAAAAAATGCCAAGTAGAGGCTCTGCAAGTGAGCCACAGCACGTCCCAAATGGGACGCCATCCCCTGGAAGGGGAAGCAGAAGGGGGCGAAAGCTCAAGGGGGAGATCGCCAGTTCCCTATTTGCATTGCATCGTCCTGCAAGAGCACTGCAGGGTTACTTCATCCCGTGAAGGTGGTGGCCATGCTTGCCTCCACAGGCATCTGACTAGAAGAAGAAGAAGGGATTTGATTTCTAACCCATTACCTCCTATCTGATCCTACGGTCGGGGGGGGGGCGCCATCTCCTGGAAATTCCAGGCCCTAGAGACGTTATATTTGTGGTGACCAGGACCAGGGCATTTTCGGTGAGGGCTCCTACCTGGTGGAAGGAGCTCCCGGAAGAGATCCGGGCCCTGCGGGACCTTTCTCAGTCCCGCAGGGACTGTAAGACGAAGCTCTTCCACCAGGCCTTTGAGTAGGAGCCGCCGCCACCACTATTCCACCTTTGCCTCCTGTGCACTATTGTATTACCATCATGATTATCCGGACCCCACTGGGGGAAGCGAGGTGTCCGGGGAGGGACTGGATGACAAGATCTCAGGAAGTTATTATGGAGGTTAAGATCTACCCATCTTGGTTAAATTTGTATTGTAAATTTGTTACTATCTTTTATTGTAAATTATTGTTTTATATTATGTGTTTTATTGTTATAACCTTGGCACATAGTGCCCTTGTCAGCCACCCTGAGCCTTCGGGGTAGGGCGGGATATAAATCCAAATATAAATAAATACCCCCGCCCTTCAGTACCCAAAGGTGTCTCAGAGTGGCTTACAAACTTCTTTCCCTTCCCCTCCCCACAACAGACACCCTGCGAGGTAGAAGAAGACGAAGAGTTTGGACTTATACCCCGCCCTTCACTATCCAGAGGACTCTCAGAGCGGCTTACAAACTCCTTTCCCTCCCCCTCCCCACAACAGACACCCTGTGAGGTTGTTGAGGCTGAGAGAGCTCTTGACAGAAACTGCTCTTTTTTCAAGGACAGCTCTTATCAGAGCTACAGCTTGCCCAAGGTCATCCAGCCAGGTGCGAGTGGAGGAGTGGGGAATCAAACCTGGTTCTCCCAGATTAGAGTCCACCCACTTAACGACTACACCAAACTGGCTGACTAGGAGCCAGGTCCCCAACAGCAGGCAAACTCAGGGCCCGAGGCCCCTCTTTGCAGACCAGCCTCGCCCACACTTTCTGCTGTAGCTCGTCGGCCTCTTCAGGAATCGCTCCCCGCCTCATGATGGACGTTTTTGGGCAAGGAGCCCAGCCAGACTTTGAGAAAGAACCACCTGCTCTGGAAAGACCAGCTCTGCCCACCCCCAGCCCCTTTGTCTGAATACAAAAGCCGGGTGGAGGGCAGAGGTGCCGGGGAAAAGACTTATTGGCAGACGCGCCCTGCCGCAGACAGGGTGCCCGCGGTCCCCGCCAAACCCACCTGAGGCAGGGCCCAGGCGGCAAATACCTTGGGCTTCTAGGAGACGGCCGACCTTCACCTTGAGCTCTTCCCGCAGGCCGGCGATCTCTTCGTCGAGGAGCTCCTGATCTGGAGAAAGGGTGGAGGAGAGAACTGGGATCGGGCCTCCCTCAGACTCATCACTGCAATTATTCCACATCGTGGCCCCTAATTCCAGGCTGGCTCCCCCTCCAACCTATTGCCCGTCTTGCACAAAGGAGGTGGTAGAGGAGGAGGAGGAGATTGGATTTATACCCCATGGCCCTTCACGCGGAGTCTCAGAGCGGCTTACAACCTCCTTCCCCTTGCCCTCCCCACAACAGGTACCCTGTCAGGTAGGCGGGGCTGAGAGAGCTCTCTCGAGAACTGCCCTTGAGAGAACTTGTGACTGACCCAAGGTCACACCAGCTGGCTGCATGTGGAGGAAGAAGAGGAGAGATTGGATTTATACCCTGCCCTTCACTACCCAAGGGAGTCTCTGAGCAGCTTACAAACTCCTTTCCCTTCCTCTCCCCACAACAGATACCATGGGAGGTAGGTGGAGCTGAGAGAGCTGTGACAGAAACTGTTCTTTTTCCAAGAACAGCTCTTATCAGAACTATGGCTTGCCCAAGGTCATTCAGCAGCTGCAAGTGGAGGAGAAGAAGAGGAGGAGGAGGAGGAGGAGGAGGAGGAGGGGATTGGATTTCTACCCCGCCCTTCACTACATGACGGAGGCTCAGAGAGGATTACAATCGGCTTTCTCTTCCCCTCCCCACCACAGACACCCTGTGAGGTAGGTGGGGCTGAGAGGGCTCTCTCAAGAACTGCCCTTGAGAGAACTTGTGACTGACCCAAGGTCATCCAGCGGGTGCAAGTGGAGGAGCGGGGGAATCAAACCCAGTTCTCCCAGATTAGAGTCCGCCGTTCTTAACCACTACACCAAACTGAGGTGCCATTCCCCCTTCAGCCAAAACACGCAGGCAGACACCCAGAAACTCCCCCCCCGACTGTTGCCTAAACCAGGGGTCCCCAACGTGGTGCCCACGGGCACCATGGAGCCTGCCAACGCTTTTCTCGGTGCCCACCAAATGTTCTTAGAAGTGGGTGGGGCTAGAGAGGGCCAGCAGAGCTTCTGATTGGCCCCCAGAGATCCTCCAGGTACTGCCAGAGTAGTGACAGCTAGCTCAATAGGCAGGCTTGAGAGTAGGCGGGAAGAATTTTTTAAAACAGTACGTTCATTTAAAAGGCATCCCCGTAAACAGAGCCTCTGCCTGAAATGCGGAACAGCTACAATCGGGGTAATACCCAACCTCATTCACTGACACTGCGGCAGCCATTTTGTGGCTGTGCCCACCCCGCCCACCCCCGGGTCAGATTTGCAAAGAGGGCCCACAGGCTCAAAATGGTGGGGGACCCCCCTCCGGCCTACACTGGCAGGGTGAAGGTCACGAAACTGCGCTGTTTTTAATTATCACCAATAAATGCAAGATGGGCATGGGCGGAAGTCATGGGTCAGCAGCGCTCACAATAACTTTATTTCTGGAGGAGGAGAAGAGGAAACAGAAGAAGACAAGGAGGAGGAGGAGGAAGAGGAGGTAGAGGAGATTGGATTTATACCCCGCCCTTCACTACCCAAAGGGAGTGTCAGAGTGGCTCACAATCTCCTTTCCCTTCCCCTCCCCACAACAGACACCCTGTCAGGTAGGTGGGGCTGAGAGAGCTCTCTCGAGGACTGTTCTTGAGAGAACAGCCATAGTTCTCTCAGAGGTGTTCCCTTAAGAACAGTTCTGTCAAGAGCTCTCTCAGCCCCACCGACCTCACAGGGTGTCTGTTGTGGCCACGGACCTCACAGGGTGTCTGTTGTGGGGAGGGAAAGGGAAGGGATTCTGTAAGCTGCTCTGAGACTCCAAGTGAAGGGCAGGGTATACATCCAATGTCTTCTTCTTCTTCTACAGCTCTGACAGAACTTGTGACTGACTCACGGTCACACCAGCAGCTGCATGCAGAGGAGTAGGGAATCAAACCCAGTTCTCCCAGATTAAAGTCCACACTCCTAACCATGGTTTTGCTTTATGCGTCAGGACTAAAAAGCTGCCCTCGTGGAGGGCGTGGGGGGGACACAATAGTACATTCCCCAGGGGCCGTGCACAACGTGGCACATTTGCTCCAGACCTTTCAGTCCTCGGGAGTAGAGATGTGAAGGCCCAGGGGGGAAACGGAAAAATTCGGGGGGGAAACAGGTTTTTCCCATTTTTTCCCTGAAGCCTTTTTTGTTTTTTCCCGAAAAATTGGAAAAGTTGAAAAAGGAAAAGAAAAATAACTGATTATGGAACGTTTTATTTTAACATGATGAATAAAATATTTTAAGACAAGGTGTTCAAATATTTTCCAAATCATTTCTAGAAAATACGTATGGTATCAGATTAATCTAATTTCTGTGCACTGAGGACCAGCAAGTCCTAGGTTACCAACTGAACTCTCCAATGCAAGAACAAGATGCATTTCTTCCTTTAGGAGGTGCTATTGTCACAAGAAAAGAAAAAGGCTTCAGTTTTGTTTTTGAGTGTGGGTGGGTATTCTGTTTGTAATAATTGCTTGGGTACACTATCTTGTTCTTTGTCGACTGTACCAACTCGCCCGGTGTGACTTAATTTGAGCGAAGGACAGACTATAAAGAACGTAGATAAATACAAAAAAATAAACTCGTGGCACTGTGGCTCGTGTGACACTGTGGGCTTCCCAGGCAGATGACAGAAGCCCCTCTAGGAACTCACCTCTCTGCAGCATGTCCTTCGTCTTTGTATTTGGAAGTTGAACAAACATGCTCCCGAAGCAGACCATCACTTTATCTGAAAGCAAAGAAACACGGGTGCGTTTAGGAGGCCCAGTTCGTGCACCACGAAGCACGTGTAGCTTTATTTCTAAGTCCTGCAGCACAAGGGCACTTTACAAAGGGAGGGGGAGGTGAAGCTGGATTTATACCCCGCCCTTCACTCAGAGTCTCAAGGTGGCTTACAACCTCCTTTCCCTTCCCCTCCCCGCAACAGACACCCTGTGAGGTAGGTGGGGCTGAGGGAGCTCTTTCGAGGACTGCTCTTTCCAGAACAGCTCTGAGAGAACTTGTGACTGACCCAAGGCCACACCAGCAGCTGCTTATAGGGAAGTGGGAAATCAAACCTGGTTCTTCTAAATTAGAGTCCGTGCTTTTAACCACTACACCAAACTGGCTTTCCAATTGCTCATTTGATGCCTAAAATCTAACAGTAGGTCAGACGATAGATAGGTAATACAAATGCTGATCAAGTGAAACGTGTCCTGAATCCTGATGCTTACTAGAGTGAGTTTTTTAGAATATTATTGGGGGATTAGAGGGTGTAATGGAGGAGGAGGAGGAGGAAAAGAAGAGTTGGCTTTAGATACCGCACTCTTCACTCTTCTCCAAGAGACTTACAACTACCTTCCCCTCCTTACCCCACAACAGACACTCTGTGAGGTAGGTGGGGCTGAGAGAGCTCTGAGAGAACTTGTGACTGACCCAAGGTCACGCCAGCAGCTGCACGTGGAGAAGTGGGGAATCAGACCCGGTTCTCCCAGGTTAGAGTCTGCCACTCTTAATCACTACGCCAAGGTGGCTTGACACTGCTTTCCACCATTGAGCCAGTTTGGTGTAGTGGTTAAGAGCGGCGGACTCTAATCTAGGGAACCGTGTTTGAGTCCCAATCTTCCACTTGCAGCTCCTGGTGTGACCTTGGGTCAGTCACAAGTTCTCTCAGAGATGTTCTCTCAAGAGCAGTCCTCAAAAGAGCTCTCTCGGCCCCACCCACCTCACAGGGTGTCTGTTGTGGGGAGGGGAAGGGAAGGGAGATTGTAAGCTGCTCTAAGACTCCTTTGGGCCGTGAAGGGCGGGTTACAAATGCAATATCTTCTCTTCTTCATTATCCCGAACTCGTCCTCCCCGACCTTGACTGGAACATTCTACTGGGGCTGTTCCAGTACAAATAGATCGAAGCCTGGTGGGCGCCCTGTAGATTAACAAGATTTTACTCCAAGGTGTGGACTGGAGGCAGGAGAAATCAATGTTCTCTCTCTGGAAGGGAAAAAAAACCCCTCCCTCGAGAGGAGACAGACCGAGAACTGTATTTCAGGAGTACAAAAGAGCAGAAGCAGACAGTCTGTCCTGCGAAGGCTGCGGGGCCTTTTCAGATGCTCCCAGGAACCAAAAGAACCACCCGAGGCCACAGGTCAAGCGCATTAATCCTCCCTTGCCTTCATTAGCGCACAAGCCTAACCGTGCTGCAGGGGAAGCAAGAGAAGCTACAGCTCGCAATCTCTCCCTGGGGAGGAGATGAGACGGCTGCCACTTGCTGGAGACATTAGTCACCCGACTTAATGTGCTGTTGGAAAAACATTCCGCTTCTGATGGGACCGCGTGAGCCACGGAGGGCGGCCGTAACTGGCACAATTCTGAGAAGTTCCTGTAACTATTGTAAGCCTCGCTGGTAGTGTCACCCTTGCTGGCTTCTCTCCTGCGCCGGCCCTCTCTGTTTACAGCTTTCAGGAAGGGCCCTGTCGTTACCGGCAGCAGCACGGCCAGACGGCTCGCGACGGGCAGGTTCCCCCGCTGCATAGTCTGCAAAAGGACCTGAGTCGGCCAAGAGCAAGAGAGATTCCTGTTTGCATTAGGAATCATAGAATCACAGAGCTGGAAGGGTCCATAGAGGACATCTAATCCAACCCCCTGCTCAATGCAGGCTCAGCCTAGAGCAGGGGTGTCAAACACGTGGGCCGGGGGCCGGACCAGGCCCCTGGAGGGCTTCTCTCAGGCCCGCAGTGGAACTGGCTGTCTTCTGCTGCTTCTTCCAGTTCTGCTGCTGCCTCATCGTATGTTTGCAGCTTACGGATAACACACCTGAACAGCATTCTCGAGACTGCAACGGCACAGACATTTTGATGCAATCATTCAGAGCAAGAGGTGTCAACTATTGGACACTGTTAAATACACATTAAACAGCCTAAATATGAGCTCTTACTGTTTACTTGAGGTACTAATATCTCACTATAGCTTAAGCCACAATAAATAATACACCGTACGCAGGGGTTTGCGCAACCACATTATAGAAAAGCATACAGTCTTTGAACGGGTTAACAGTAAGTCCTACTTTTCCTATAGGCACTACGCATGTATTATATTTGAACAGCTTTTTACAATTTATATGCAATTTTACTGTACTGTAATTTACCGAACACTTAATAAAATGTATTTCCCCCCCCCAAAAAAATCAGACACTGTTAAATAAACAAAATATTGCAAGAGTGCTGATGTTTTAAGCATGCTTTTATTTTAAGCAAAAAAAACCCCTTTGTGTTTGTGTCCTTTATAAAGTTTATATCTCTGCTCCCTGGCATTACCTTTTATGACACACGTGGCCCGGCCCAACAAGGTCTCATTTATGTCATATCCGGCCCTCATAACAAATGAGTTCAGCACCCCTGTTCTAGAGGGCCAACAACAAGACACAGAGGCCAAGGCCTACATGAGAACATCAGAAGGGCCCTGCTGGATCAGACCAGTGAGGGTCCATCCAGTCCAGCATCCTGTCTCACACAGGGGCCAACCTGTTCCTCTGGAGGGCCAACAATGGAACACAGAGGCCACAGTCACTAGGAGGGGCACAGACAAGACATCCATGGGGCTGCAGAGCTTTGCTCAAGAAAGCAGCCTTGCTTGGAGAAGAGCACATGAACACATGAAGCTGCCTTCTACTGAATCAGACTCTTGGTCCATCAAGGTCAGTACTGCCTACTCAGACTGGCAGCCGCTCTCCAGGGTCTCAGGCGGAGGTCTTTCCCATCACCTCCTGCCTGGCCCTTTTAACTGGAGGTGTCGGGGATTGAACCTGGGACCTTCCGCATGCCAAGCAGAGGCTCTGCCAGTGAGCCACAGCGCGTCCCAAATGGGACACCATCCCCTAGAAGGGGAAGCAGAAGGGGGCGAAAGCTCAAGGGGGAGATCGCCAGTTCGCTATCTGTGAGACAGGATGCTGGACTAGATGGACCCTCACTGGTCTGATCCAGCAAGGCTCTTATCTTTTCAGTCATGTTGGATGACAAGACTTGGACTAATGGATATACACCACAGTAAAAGGTTTTGCCTCAATTTGAAAAAGACCTTCGTGATAGTGAGGTGTTTTAGACACTAGAACAGTCTCCCTTGTAAGGCCAATGATTCTTCATCACTGGAGGTTTTTAAGTATCGATTGGATACCTACTTGTCAGGGATATTGTAACTATAGTTCCTGTGTTGGCAGGCAGTTTGACTAGATGACCCTTTGGACTTGAGAGTAAATAAATACTGAGCTCAGCAGACTAACGCCAACTTCATACATTCAAGAAGATCGCCTCACCTGAACTGGCCAGTTCCCTGCTCAGAGCCCTGAGCGCTTCCCGGTTCTGATTCCGTTTCTGATCCAGGGCCACAATCTGGAAAGACAGTGTCATGTTCAGAAGGCTTTCTGCATAAAAAAATCAGAGCCCTTTTGCCCCCCAAAAAACACTTTTACCGGCCGTTCTCATCATATGTTGGTTATTCTGGCACCTCATTTACTTTTACCTTAAAGACCGGGTTTTCTTTTTAAAAGAGCCACCGGTTACAAACCCACGTGCCATCTGACAAGATGAACTTTAAAGCGTCTCCCCGGGAAAATGTTGCTCGGCTCTAAGGCACAGCTGAACTTGGATTTTTGTCCTGTCGCTGCAAATATGGCCGCCCACCTGAAACCAAATTACGACGCACACCCCCCCACCCAGTTTTGTATAACATTATCCAAGGATCTCACAGAGGTTTGCCCCCCTCCAGGTGGGGTCAGGAATTCTCCCAGTATTAGAACCGATCTCCGGGTCAGTTTCCCTGGAGAAAATGGCTGCTTCAGAGGGCAAACTCTATTATCATAGGGTGTAGGTCGGTGATGGCGAACCTTTTAGAGACCGAGTGCCCAAACGGCAACCCAAAACCCACTTATTTATCACAAAGTGCCAACACTGCAATTTAACCTGAAAACTGAGGTTATACTTTAGAAAAAACAACTCATATGTTAACTTAAGATGATCCAAACAAAGTAACGAAAGCAATCCCAAATGTTTTAATTTACTTAAAATTATTTGGCAGAGAATTCGACACTTTAATGATGGTCTGGGCCTGGCTGGGGCGATGGCACGCGTGCCCACAGAGAGGGCTCTGAGTGCCACCTCCGACACCCGTGCCATAGGTTCGCCACCACTGGTGTAGGTGAAACGCCTTCCCACATTCCCCCTCCATGGTAGGTGGGGCCCAGAGATCTCCCAAAATTACAACTGATCCCCAGACTGAAGAGATAAGTTCCTCTGAAGAAAATGGCTGCTTTGGAAGGGGGACTTTGTGGCACTGTACCCTACTATGTGCAATAGAACGAAATTTGAGTTCAGAGGCATCTTTAAGACCAACAAAGTTTAATTCTGTGTATAAGAAGAGAAGAGATTGGATTTATACCCCGCCCTTCACTACCCGAAGGAGTCTCAGAGTGGCTCACAAACTCCTTTCCCTTCCCCTCCCCACAACAGGCACCCTGTGAGGGCTGAGAGACCTCTTTCAATGACTGCTCTTGAGAGAACAGCTCTGAGAGAACTTGTCACTGACCCAAGGTCACGTCAGTAGCTGCCATGTGGAGGAGTGGGGAATCAAACCCGGTTCTCCCAGATTACAGTCCGTGCTCCTGACCACTACACCAAACTGGCTTTCGTGTGCATCCAATGAAAAGCGAGGTTCGAGTCCAGTAGCACATTAGAGACCAATTGGATTTTCGGGGTGTGAGCTGTCCAAAGCTGCAGCTCTCTCCGTCAGATAACCAAGGGAGCTCTGGCTCTCGAAAGCTTATATCCTGAATATATCATGGGCAGTGTTCCCTCTAAGCTGAGTGAGTGTGAGCTAGCTCACAGTTTTTTAGCCTCCGGCTCACACATTTCTGTCTTAGCTCAGGAAAGATGGCTCCAGAGCAAACTAATTCATGCAGCAGCCAAATCGCTCGCTCACAACTTTAATACCAGTAGCTCACAAATAATAATAATAACAACAACAACAAAGTAGTTTTTTGCTCACAAGACTCCACAGCTTAGAGGGAACATTGATCATGGGTCCCTAAAGGCAAAGGTTTCCCTTGCTCGAAAGCCAGTCGAATCCGACTCTAGGGGTGCGGCACTCTTCTCCGTTTCCAAGCTGAAGAGCCAGCGCTGTCCGAAGACGTTTCCGTGGTCACTAGAAACCGTGGTTGCACAGAATGCTGTTACCTCCCCACTGAAGTGGTACCTGTTTATCTACTTGTAATTTCTTGCAATTTCTTGCTTTTGAGCTGCTAGGTAGGCAGGAGCTGGGACTGGAGACAGGAACTTACTCTGTCTTGCAGCACTGGGGTCTCAAACTGCCAAAGTACCGACCTTCCGCTCTGACGGTCAGCGTCTTAACCAGTGTTCCCTCTAAGCTGAGTTAGTGTGCTCACAGTTTTTTAGCCTCTGGCTCACACATTTTTGTTTTAACTCAGGAAAGGAGGGCTCCGGAGCAAACTCATTTATGCAGCAGCCAAATTGCTCGCTCACAGCTTTAATGCTAGTAGCTCACCAAGTAGACTTTTTGCTCACAAGAGTCTACAGCTTAGAGGGAGCGTTGCTCCAGAGCAAACTGATTTCTGCAGTAGCCAAATCGCTCAAGCTCACCACTTCAATGCCAGTAGCTCACAAAGTAGAATTTTTGCTCACAAGACTCCACAGCTTAGAGGGAGCATTGGTCTTAGCCAGCACAATGCTTTGCTTGGAAGCCCCGCCCCCCCGCCCGCGATCCTATCCTAACATTCTCCAGCGCCACCTCGGGGTGGCCTGCCTCACAGGGCTGTTGTGAGGATCGCAGCACAGTCCCATCATGAGCCCAGGAAGCACGAGCGCTCCTCTGGCGGGACTCCGTGGGGAGAAGGGGTGTGTGTGTGTGGGGGGGGGGGTCAG